GCAAGGGTTTCTCAAAAATACAAAAGGGGGAGTGATGCCAAAAAGTTTGGGAACCACTGCTTTAATCTGTCTAGGACACTCTGTACCCTATCCCTGCCGTCCAGTATATCTACCTCTCCCCCAGCTTAGTGTCATCCACAAACTTGCTGAGGGTGCAATCCATCCCCTCATCTAGGTCATTAATAAAAATGTTGAACAAAATCTGCCCTAGAGCCAATCCTTGGGGCACTCCACTAGAAACTGACAGCCAACCGGACATCGAGCCGTTGATCACCACCCATTGGACCCGACAGTCTAGCCAGCTTTCTATGCATCTTATAGCCCATTTATCCAATCCATCCTCCCTTAACTTGCTGGCAGGAATACTGTGGGAGACTGTATCAAAAACTTTGCTGAAGTCAAGGTATATACCAGCCACTGACTTTCCCATATCCACAGAGCCAGTTACCTCATCATAGACGCTAATCAGATTGATCAGGAACTACTTGCCCTTTGTGAATCCACGTGGACTATTCCTGATCACTTTCCCCTCTTCCAAGTGCCTCAAAATGGATTCCTTGAGGATTCCCTCCATGATTTTTCCAGGGACTAAGGTAAGGGTGTCTGGTCTGTAGTTCCCTGGACTGTCCTTTTTTAAAGATGGGCACTACATTTGCCTTTTTCCAATCATCCGGGATCTCTCCCGAGCTCCATGAGTTTCCAAAGATAATGGCCAAAGGCTCTGCAATGATATTTGCCAACTCTCTCAGTATCCTCGGATTCATTAAACCCGAAATAGTACATCTACACTGCAAGGAAGCCGCAATATTAGTCCGAGGCAAGCTTCCCTAAAGTAGATATGCGATCTCGATTTAGAGCCCCTGGAGGAATAACTTAAAATGGGCCTGGTGAGGGGCTATTTCGAAACAACAGAAATGGAGCATCTACACACGCCTTATTTAGAAATACCCAGGGCTCGCCGAGCCCTGCTTGCCAGTCGTGCTGTCCGGCGATCTGCGCATGCACAGATCCCCCGGGCATGCACAGATCAAACTTGGTTCTTCTGGGTTACAATCTACTCGCCCGTGGCGAATAGATTGGATTATTTGTGGAGCCCTGGAAATAGCTATTTCGGAATAGGCGTTATTCTTCGTAGAATGAGGCTTACAGAAGTCGGAATAAGCCGCCCGTTATTTCAAAACAACAGACTTGCTGCATAGACACTCGCATAGTTATTTCAGCATAACGGCCGTTATTACGAAATAATTTTGCGGCGTAGGCACCCCCTCAGACTAACAAAACGATGTAGACTCGTGAGCTTTTGTGGGGACATGACCCAGGCATTACCCCAGGTAAGTGACCCGTGGACGCTCATGAGTCCATATATTTTTGCTCGTCTCACAGGTACCACAGGAGAAATTGTTTTTAGAAGAAAATTAAATGGGGCCTCGGCCCGTGAGCGGGCTCCTGGGCACCACAGATAACAACGCGCACAGAGATCACCTCAGAGATCACCTCTGCCTGTAGCCAAGCCGTGGAGCCCGTAGGCCGACACGAACCCACCACAGCCTGCCCGCGACCCCCTCCAGACCAGGAGGCGGGAGGAGCCAGGCCGGGGGAGGGGACCCGGACCTGCCTTAGGGTGGCTCGGGGCATCCCCCCCACAGGCCGGGACCCTCCCGCTTCCCAACCCCGCGCTGGGCGGGGCGCCCCGGCCTCACCCTGGAGAGGGGCCCGGCCCCGCTTCCACCGCAGGCAAAGCAGCGACCCAAGGGGGGAGTCCGGTCACTGACTCACCTGAGCAGGCCCCTTCCGGGCGCTTGCCTGTGGCGACTCCAACGGCGGCCCCGCCAGCCCGCCCCGCCAATAAGCACCACGCCCCGCCAGGCCCGGTCAGCCAATCACGCCTCCGGGTTTTTTGCGCCGGGCCAATCAGCACGCCGTTTCCACTCGCTCTTGGAACCAATCAGGTGGCACCCCGGGCAAGCCGGCGCTCGACG